CAAGATTGAGTCAATCTCTTCATTGGTAGTTTTAAAAACAAATAAAAATCTGATCTAGCAAAAAAAAGAAATAATTTCAAATTGTCACTACAAAGATGTTAGCTCGAAGCTAAAACGAGATGTTATTTAGAATGAGCATCAAAAATCGAATTGAACGATTTCAAGGAGTTTCCAATAAAACGTTTTTTCGAAAAGTTGTCCCTTTGGTCCATTACAACCACAGTTTCAAAACAAATTGTTTTCCTAAAATTTAGCTAAATGTTAGTTAAAAATCGTTTATTTACGTTACCTTTGTTGGCTAACCATGGCAAAGCTACGAAAGTGCATTTTTGAGCGAGACATCTTTGCGGTGACAATTTAAAATTACTAGGCGAATTTTTCTTTTTTTTGCGAGATCAGATTTTTATTTGTTTTTAAAACTACCAATGAAGAGATTGACTCAATCTTGAAACGTCTATTTACTAATTTTAAATATAAATATATCGATAACTACGGAATATCAAGTAAGCAAACTTTAATAAATATGGCGCTTTTTTCCGAATCCTAGAACCACAGTTTCATGCGTAGAATTGAATGAGAACATTAAAAATATATGTTAAGTTTTTCATGTTTTGGCTTTTCTTGCTAGGCTCGTGCATTCTCCCTTAAGTAAACTATTTTTCCAGGTAACAATCAATAGGATCCTTTACGAATTGTGTGTTATTATAGTTTAACTTACATTGTCCACGTGCTATTATATTGTTCCATCGATTTAACCGTGCAAATTTGTTTTCGTTATCATTATCTTTTGTCTCTTGCGTCTTGTCCTGTAAGTCCTATAAAACATGTTTCTTTATGACCATTTTGATACAATGTACTCAGTTTTCATTATCCAGATGCAGTCACACATTAGTTGGACAAAGTCACCTCGATTAACGGTGGTTTCGCTTACTCTGAAGCAGGATAACTCAGACTTACTTATGTCTGGACTGAAAATGCTTTTCTTTCCTCATACGCTGCTGACATTTGATTCATTCGATTCTAGTCTCGATCTATTGTCCATTTTAAAATGAAATAGAGATGGCTATTTTTAGAATACACCAACGAGGAAACGTCGCCAGTTTTCAGTCGGTTTTTGAGGAAAGTAATGTGATTATCGACGATGCTGATTCCGAGTATCATGGTGGCAATGGCTCATACGGCTTCGAAGGTTTTCTGAAGTAAAGCTTTTTCTTTTTAAGAGGTTTTTTTAGAGTTCCTAAGCAAATAGGTCAGATTTTATAGCGAAAACGAAATAAAAGCGTGACGGGACATTTTGATGGAAAAGTGATCCAACAAACCAGTATTTTACATTTTTCTCCTAAACCAAAAGGTTTTGGCTTTGTCTATTTTTTTACCAGTTTATTCTAATCGTAACAGGCTATCTTTTAGTTATTTTGAAGTTCAGTTCTGATGAAGTTTAGTGGGCGAAAAATACTCGAGAAGTGTGACGATACTTTTTTTGACACTTTTCCTACCCACGCTTTTTTTTTTCACTGGGCTCAGCTCAAATATAACTTTTTCTCAGAAACGAATTACACAGTTTCGTAGTCCATTCATTTCTATCTACTACACACGCATATGTTCTTGATCTCAAGCATAGATATCTTTTGCCTCGTTTTTGTAATTTTCTCATTTATTTATGTCTATTATTCCTTTGTAGATTAAAGTTATGACGAATCCTGCAAATATCATACAGTATTTATCAGCTTTAGTTAAAAATAATCTTGATATGAAGCAAATAGAACCATCACAAAAGGAACATAAATTAGCCAAGCATTTAGCTGATACCCTTACATCATTAAATGATTACAAACATTTTGAATATGACGAAGTGAGACTGTCTTCAACCATAAAAGCACTCGCTGATCTCGATTGGATTCCGACAGAAGAAGCCTTTGTCGCTGAGTAATACTCGTGCTTATTTCATAAAATTAAGTTTGGTATGGCATCCCTTTCACTTCAGTCTCTCATTCCAACTGATACTGCATCACATACCTCTTCACTAAGGAGTAGAAGTACAGCTGCTCAACAAATTCCAGTTCAGCGCCGTAGATTGATGATATATGAAAATTCTTTCATCATAGCAACTTGTAAGTTGTGGAATCAGCTTTCTCCTGCACTTCGCTTAATAACGAATTGCACAAGATTTAGACTCAAATTGATGGAACTTAAAACAACTGAAGCATATGGTGAAATTAGACATTGTATACCCAGATGTGAGGACAGATCTAATGAACTTCACTTCGTTTGTGTAAGAATTGGATTCTCTCAATTGAATACTGACATATTCAGGTACACCCTTATTCCTGATCCGTCATGCACATGTGGAGAAGAGGAATCACAAAGTCATTTTTTTCTGATCTGTAGGAAATACTATAAAGCTCGAAAGAAACTGATGAGTACTGTTAATTCCATTTTGGGCACAAAAATTATTCTCTCTCTTCAGTTTCAGGGATTTGTCTATTGAAGTTGAAAAAAGTAAAAGTATTTATAAGGCTATCGTTTATTTCATTAGAGAGTCTAACCGCTTTGGGGCATAATTGATGTTACTTCTCTTACGTGAAAATTCTTCATACCTCACTCATGCAGTCGCCACAGAAAGTCATCCTTATCTCCTTCTCATCTCTGAAATCTATGTTGCTTCTATACTGTTTTCATCTGGTAAAACTTTACCACTTGTTTTTGTTCTTTTTTATTTATCTAGTTCTTTGTTTTTTTATTTTGTATTTTCTTTCGTGTCTCTCCCTCTCTCCCAGTGTCATGCAATGGGCACAGCCCGATTTGATTACTGTTTCTTCTATAATAAAGTTTAAACCAACAACGTTGGATATTGATGATTGACACTGTATGATACTGACAGGGTTCATTATAATTTTAATCTACAGAGGAATAATAGATATAGATAGATGAGAAAGTTACAAAAACGAGGGAAAAACTATCTCTTCAATTCAAATGGTTGAGATCAAGAACATACGCATGTGTAGTAGATGCTTCTATAAGTCGCTTAGGCTACGTTGGATGATAAAAAAATCTTTTCTCATAGATAATTTGTTATGCTTTACCATTTGACATGGCCAAATGAATTTAGGTTGGAAAAGATTTTGCACTTTGAGATCTGATTTTCCAAAAACACGGTCCCCAGAGACCCAGACAGCATCACTCACTATGATATTCGGAATCGGCATCGTCGATCACATATGTCAATGTGTGTTTCAGTCAAAAAACGAGGAGGTAAGTTACTAAGATCAATTCCCTTACAAAATTACGTTTCTCAACGTAAAGACAGTCTTTAACGATAAATTTTAAATGATTATAACTTGGTCAGGATAGGTCCGATGATCGAAAAAAGTTTTTTACATAGATAAGTCAACGTGCTCTATAAACTGGACAGATCAGAACTTGATTTGAAAAGAAAATTTTTACTCATGAAACCGAATATTCGAAGCTGTTGCCACTGTTATATTCGGAACCAGCATCATCACTTAGCTATAATCATATAACTTTCTTCAGAAAAGCGATTAGAAACTGGAGAACTTCCCGTGTAAGTCTCTTTTCTTGGTTCTTCGCTAGAAGTTACCACTGTCGCATTATACTCTAGAACACTATGGTCTATCCAAAAAAACAGTGGTCTCGCTTGTATTTTGAAGAACTTTCGATAGAAAAATGATAGAAACATGCGGTTTTCAGTTTTGGAAACTAGATACTTAAAGCTACATTTCCATAAGCAAAATCGATATTTGAAAAGTTTATTTTATCTGCAGCATACCATAAAGTCCAATAAATGTTGTAAAGACCGATAGAAAATACTTCGGCTTTTAGAAAGGTTTCGCAGAAATCTTTAGAACTAAGAGAATATTTTTAATGATTTTAAGTACAGAATCGGAATGAGCAGATGGAATAGAATATTTCCTGACATTCTGAAGTAAACTGGACGGATTCTGACTGAGTTATACATTTTTTAATTTTTGATGAAAATAATCAACAATGGATTATTTCACCTAGTATAGGTTTTCGCCAGGTTGTTGCATTTTGTTCTGAAAACTAACATTGGCACGTGATTCAGACTAGTCGATAACCTACGTTTTCATGCATTTCTGGCAGTCCCAGACCTAACTGGCAGAGAAGTGCTAAGGCTTCAGGAAACACCTCCATAGCTGACGAACCATGGATTTTCAAGATGTCACTTAGATGCAGTTTTGTAGTGGACAGTTCGGACTATATATCTACAAAAAAGAATTGTCCATCGTATTCTATGTCAGTTTTAGAGATCCAAAAGGCTTTTAAAAGATTCTCTGAAAAAACGACTTCGGAAAACTTTCCAAATATCGATTTCGCTTATGGAAATGTAGCTTTAAGTATCTAGTTCCCAAAACTGAAAATCGCATTTTTCTACCAGAAGTTCTTCAAAATACAAACGAGGCCGCTGTTTTTTGGATAGACGTTAGTAAGTATCAGGTGTGGGCACGATCGTGATAAACTCTTAACTGAATCCGCGGTCGAGAAAATTTTTATCATATCGATCCGATGGAAGCCGTTCCATGGCTTGCGATAAAACAATTGTTCCAGAGATGTTGTAGAATCGTACCGATTGTACTTTTTTCTTATGGCTGCGATGCTAAAGAAAGTCGGCGCTGGACTATAGTGTCAAAGCCCGTTCGCCGTTTTGTTTCGGTCAGATTGAAGTAGATTATCCATAGTAATATGCAGAAAATTTTCGAACTCTAAATAATTGTTTACCGCAGTCAACTCGACAAATGCTAGCCTAGATTTTAACTTAATTGTGAAAAACAAACGAATCGAAAGTTCACGATTTAATCGTGAACGCAAGAATAGCACAACTTTACTTATTATAACTGGACGGTAATCACAAAAAATATAGATATATAGATAAAATATAGATCGTAGTGGACTATTCAAGAATCCTAAGTGCATTTCGCATAAGAGCGACGGAAATACTAGCGGGTAATAGGGTGTGTTATTTCGTGAGGCTTACAGCGTTTGTTATGGTGATCCTGCAGCCAGCTTTTTAGCTACGATGATAAAAAGTTGTTTTGGGAACTTTTAAACAAAGTCACCACGCTCCGTTTCATATTATTTTGAACGATAATAGATATGAAATACTATATAGCCTTAGGATGCAGTAGAAATATACTGAGAAGAGTTTACTTGCATTATATTCACGGATAATATTTGCTTTATCATCGGGCGTTAGTCCAATGTAAGACGCTAACGGTTGAGGACTGCAAGAAAGAAAGAAGACAATGTGTTATCATTCAATAGGAAGTTGTGCGATCGATAATATGGTCATTTCAGCCATCAATCAGCTTAAAATGACTGTATTATCTAATGTTGTTGTCGCCCGTTTCACTTACTTCATCCGAGCTGTCACATAATGATATTGACGTACGAGCGGAATCCTAAAGAAATACACCTGATAACTAAAATAATAATTTCCATCATTTGTTGGCATCCTTACACAAATTCAATTGTCTTCACACCGAATCCATCATACCTGAAAGTTTCCGAGCTAATCTCGGAAACTCATCAGAAGGTTTCCGAACCTTCGAAAACCTTTATTTGTTTCCTATAGTTTCATTTTCGGAAAACCTTTGAGCATTTCCGAGTTCTCGGAAACGCTTAAAGAGTTTCCGAAAATGAAACTATTGGAAACAATTAAAGGTTTTCGAAGGTTCGAAAACCTATCTGAACCTTCAGAAATCTATTGATGAGCTTCCGAGATTAGCGCGGAAAATCATCTCAGTTTTCGAGAGCTTGCAGGAAACCCATTTTGGTTTCCGGATGCTCGAAAACCTTTTTCTGTCGGTTTCCGAGGTTACGACTTTTTAGAGAGTGGACAGATCTCTTTTCAAAAAATACATCAGTTACAACTGGAGATTCTGTACTGTGTAAGCTTTCCATTTTAACGAAGAAATAAACACAATGCAGTTCTTACGGTTCTGGTTCTCCTTCTGATTCTCGGTCTGGGTCTGATTGTATACAATTTCGGATCGGTTCTTTCTTCCAGAAAACGAGCGCAGCAATCGCAACGATCGCTAATAGTGGCAATATAACGCCTAAGATTGTTCCGATCGGTGATTTTGGCTTTTCGCTAGCTTGAACACAAAACTCTCTGCAGTGGCAACTATAAATATCATGCAGGAAGTAGTACTTACGTTGAGGTTTTGTGACAAATGCTTTTGACAAGATATATGTACAATCATAATCATCTTCGGTCGTACAACCACCAACTAGTAATCTAAAGTAGAGACGAATAAAGCCAAGTGATTTCGGATACGATGCGTTTTGCGTGTTCTAGGATGAAAAGTTTTCTACTCGAATCCAGTCTCCTCTAACAACAACAATGATCATCTTCATTACAAGACAAAAGTTGTAATCTGTATGACTCTGATATTTATTCATACTGGCTTATGTCTCTTAACAGGTATATACCTGCCTTATGTCATCGAGAATGGCGATATTTAATCATGGGTCAAAAATGTAGGTTTGGTATATAAATCATTACACGAGTCATTCGCACTAGATATGTACCAGTTAAAAACTGGTGTTAAGCATTATTTGCTCATATTTGTATTACAAATAACTTTGAAATTTTGTACTTATAAAGGATTGTTGCACAAAGATTTCTCTACAAAATGAGACTTTTCGCGGCTCTGACGAGGCAAGGTCCGACTGTCAAATCGCTTTTGATGTAAAACTTAGTGGATAATGGGTAACCGAGCATGCCGATTGCGAATATGACAATGGCTTTTCCCAATGCGTCTTTGGAGACCCCGTTTTTTGAAAAACTGGGTTTTCGCAACGAAAAACTCTTTTTGATCTGTACAAGCGAAAGCGCATGCTCTAAAACCTACGCAAAACTATTTTTAAGGTTTTGTAACGGTTTTGAAC